GCAAGAAATGGATTTGTGTAATTATGACCAGGAAATTGTATGAAATTAGTCCAGGTCACACAGAGAAATCAGTGCAGCTGTGGCTGGCTAAGCCCCCAGCGACTTCCCTCTCTGCTAGAGAGGCTCTGAGCTCCGTCCACTGTCGTGGGGTGTGACCCGATAGGCTCTGGCCAGTCGTGTTTTATTTGTCTCTGAGACACTGAGAAGTGGTGGGAAAGTCAGTTATCTTTATCTCCACACGTAGCACAGCCACTGGCAGGAAGTTGGATCTCGGCAAGTGGTTGTTGAAAGAATGAGTGAAAGAACAAGTGAATACGGGTCAGCCCTATTCTCTTCCTCTCTCTCTCTCATATCTATATTCACATGTGCGTCCATTGGATATAAATACGTATATATTTGCATGTGTGTGTTTGTTTTTTAATGGTTACATCGGAGTCTCAAAGATAGTTGAAATTCTGGCCGAACCACAGTCATTTCCTTTAGGTCTTCAGACTTGGGATCCACACCTTTTGCTCTGTTAAGGTAGGAAAATGTCACTAGATCCATTAAAGACTAAAAATTCCACATCCAAGAGAATGGTCGAAGCTTGAAGGCTGACCAGTTTCTCAGATAACCAGGGCTGAAATGGCAGCACCAAGGTTACGTGCGTTCCACATGCTTGGAGCAGGATGGATGTCATGCTGACCCAGGACACGTTCCGACCCTCCAGGCACAGCTGTGTTCCCGGACCCACCAAGGCAACCCCAGTGATTAATGGGCATCAGGTGGTGCGGCCAGATTGCCTTCACACATTGTAACTCCTTTTGTTTCCTGTGAGACACTTTCCAAATGGAGTTTGCAACTCCCAGAAAATCGCTTCTCAGCTGGCAAGAATGCAGAGTTGCACGTTTACTGTGTTCCTCTCCTAAAAGCCCTGCCCTTTGGCGCCTTGCCCGTGCTGCTGCCCAGGTATCTCACCCACCGTGTGCCAATTCCAAGTCATTCCCACCCTGCTCCTGCACACACCCCTCTCAGACCTGCCCCCGGTGTCCTCTTCCATGTGACAAGCCACACAAACTTCATTTTCCACATTGTTTTTCATTTCCCACATTTATAATCACAAGGTTCTTAGAGAAATTTTCCCTGACTGCCAAGATTCATTCAACACTAGAGGGCAGGTAACATGATAGTCTGAGAACATTCTCACAGTGTACTGGCACCAGAAATGTACATCTGGAGGAAAGAGAAATCCTGAAGTGTGTATTAGCCAAGTAGAAAGCAGATAACATAACTTGCAGGCAAATGCAAGATTACAATAGGCCTCAATCTGGCTGTTTTATTAGCTAGAATTAAATGTGGCTAAATGTGAGCAAAAACCCTAATTCACAGTGACTTAAACATGAATGATTTTATTTTCTCAAATAAAAGAGGTGGAAAAGTAAGCAGACAGAGCTGGATCAGTTCTATGAAGCTCTTTCCAGCTTTCGCCTTTGGGTTGACCCTAATCCTCAGGTCTAAAATGGCTGCCAGAGCTCCAGCCATCATACTTATGTTCTAGGCAGCAGAAGACTTTGCAGAAGTTGCACACAATACTTCCACATATCATTGAGTAGGTTTTGGTCATATAGCCACATCCAGCTATAACTAGGATCAGGAAATACAGCCTTTATTCTGGGCTAGAATGTAGAACTGATTATACGGCAACTGGCCTAATCTCTTCAGAGATGACTGTTCTAGATTTTAAAAGACTAAAGAGACATATAGGTAAGCCTTGATTGACTACTAAAGATATTTTTAAGATGATAGGGAAAATTAGAATATAGACAGAATGTTAGATATCATAGACTGATAACTAATTTTCTTAGGTGTAATCATAGAATTATGTTTCATAGGAACATGTTCTTATTTTTAGCAGGCTATAAAGTAGTTAAGAGTGAGGTGTCCCGACATCTACCACTTCCTCCAAAATAGTTCATTAAAATACAGAATATAAATAGGTAAAGAGATTGATAGACATGGAAAAGATAGTAAGAATTACTGATAATAAGATAGGTGGAGGGGGTATGGATACTTATTACACTGTTCTTTCAACTTTTCTGCATGTCTAAATTTCTTATAATAAAAATTGGGGAAGAGTAGTTCTCTACGTGGTTTAGCCGTTTCAGTCTTTTTCACGTGAGGCTGACTGCCTGCTGGTGACAGGGAATGACGTTCCTGACTGGCACTCTGGAGCCAGTCAGTCGAGAATCCCCGTAGTCTCGCCAGCGGGGATCTCAGAGCTTGTGGGGACTGGCAGAGAGAAGACTGCGCCTTAGCCCTCAGCTTCCGAGGGCCTTCCCCCGTCACCTGGAAGGCAGCACGGCAGCAAGGATCCACAAACGCCATCACCTAGTTGAGGCAGAAGGTAGAAAATGAATCCAAGACGTCTTAGACAGTGGGGGCATCAGCAGTCTATCAGGACACAGGGCTACACTTGCCATTAGGAGAATCTGTCCTCCCTCCACTGTTTCTGCCAATATTATCTTAGGCACTTCGGTTTCCTCATCTGTACAATGGGGATCATAATTATTGCCTCACCCACCTCCAGGGCTGTCTGAGGATCAAAGAAGATATTGTGTGTGATTTGCTGTAAACTTACAAATGTGCAAGATTTTTAGGAAGGTGACTTTGCTTGCGCCAGAACTACTTCATCCTATTAGGCTCCCACGCAATTACCCTCAGACACCAGGACCAAATGAAAGTTTTCAAAATTCTGCTTGTGGTGGTTTGGAAATATCTGCACGAATTCTGACATTCCTCCCTTTAAAAATGGAACCTAATTCCCCTCCCCTTGAGTGTGGGCCAGACTAAGTGACTCGCTTCTAATACAAGTTCCCCCAGATAAAATACATGATGCCCCATTAAATTCGAATTTCAGATAAACAAGTAAATTTTAATATAAGTATGTCCTAATTATTGCATGGGATATACTTAAAACGTATTCATTGTTTATCTGGAATTCAAATTTAATGGGGCATCATGTGTGTGTGTTTTACTAAAACTGGCAACGCTGTTCTAATGAATAGAATGAATGTGGCATAAGTAAGTGTATGACTTCCGAGACTAGGTCACAAGAGACTGCAGCTTCCACCTTGCTTCCAATTAGATCACTCACTCTGAGAGAAGCCAGATGCTGCAGCTTGAGGACACTAGGGCAACCCTGTGGAGAGATTCACTGACGCCTCAGGCTGACAGCCAGCACTAACACAGGAGCCACGTGAGTGACCCATCCAGCCCCAGGTAAGCCTTAGATAACTGCAGCCCTTGCCAATGTCTTGATTACAACCTCATGAGAGACGCTGAGCCAGAACCACCCAATTAAGTTGCTCCTGAACTTCTGACCCATTGATACCCTGTGAGATAATAAATGGTTGTTTCAAACTGCTCCGTTTTAGAGCCTCAGGCTCAGCCCTGGCTGACACTGTGGTTCCTACAGAATGTTCTCCTCCTCTAAGGGACTCCAAGATTTGACCACTAGACCCCGCTCTACCTCCTTCTATCAGACAATCAAGTTTCCAGGGCAAGTGTCTATGAAAGCTTTTCAAAAAAGTAATGGCACACAGTAGGAAGTCTATCTGTTAATAGAAGGTGAATTTTTGAGAGAAAAGAAAAGGTGAAAAGGAATTAATACTTTTCAGAGGTATTCAGGGGCCCAGTTCTGCTGATTCCTAGCTGCCAGGTTTGGAGAAGTTATTTAATCTCTCAAAGCCCTGGTTTCGTCTGTAAATACAAGCTGGTTATACCTATTTGCAGGACATTCCTGGTGATTAGAGATATTAAAAGTAACATTTATTAGGAGGGTAGGATGCGTTAAGCACTACTGTGCTTCATATTTAATCCTCATAACAACCCTTTGAGATGGGTACCGTGCTTCTCCCCATTTTACACATTAGGAAGATGAAGCACACAAAATTTACATGATTGCCCATGTCTAATAAGTACATAATGTGCCTGGCATGTCATATGCATCTTTGTAAAAGTTGTTAAGGTATCATTTAATCCTCTAAACCACTGTTTTTGCAGGTGAGAAAATAGGGCCTCAGCGGGGTTCGGTGAATCCCTGGAGGCCAACTTCAAGTCCCCACTCTCCCCCAATCCATGGTGATTCACGGAGTCACCAGCACATTCTGAGACCCTCCTGTCCCCGCCCTGGCTGGGATGGTCATCCTGATATCCTCCCACTCCCAACCGTTCCCCCTGCTGGGCTCCTAGCTCTCAGAAGTTGGAGAGTAACTAACTGCTGCCCCAGAATGGGAGGGACCAGACACCTAAGTGGGAGGCCATAATTCACATCTGACCCACACACCAATTTGGATGGACTGGCGGGACATCAGCTCTAATTTTAAACACTGGAGTTACCATATCTAACATGCAGATTTCCACCTTCTCTGATCAAATGAGATACCAGCTGGCCTTCCTGGGTGGCAAGCCACCTTGAGTGAAGAGCCGGGTACTCTTTGAAATAGAGCCCGGGCCCACTGCCACTGAGAACGGACCTGAATGAAACCCCAGTGTCCTGCACACTTGATTTTCCTGAGGCACTGAATAAGCTCCGCCAACAACCTTCTGAGCTATCCAAGACATGCCCTTGGCCATGCCCCCCACCCCCATCTTCAAAGTAGCAACAGGACTTTCATGATTCCTTCTCATGCTTCCAATCTGTCTTTCTTCCCCCAGAGAAAACTCTCTGCTCTTAAAGGGGCCTGTGTGATTAGATCAGACCTACCCAAATCTCTTATCTTCTGGGAGGTTCCTATCTTAAACCGCATAACAGTCATGGGAGTGCTATCTCCTCATATTCTTAGGTTCCAGGGATTAGGGCAGGGCATTTGTAAGGGGGTGGGAGGCATTTTAGGGGTTCTGCCTCCCACATGTCCTGATTAGATGGAAGTAATGTATCAGTGCTGATACTCCGATTTTGATGGTTGTATTGTGGTTATGTAGCAGAAGATACTCGTTTGCAAGAAATCCACACTAAAATATTCAGATGATAGGGCATCAGATCAGCAATTTACTCTCATATGACTGAGTATTGAATAATAGTTCTTTGTACTGTCCTTGAAACAATTCTATATGAATATGCAGATAGATGAAAAAGATAGCTATGGATATACATGTTCATAGATACAAAGAAAAATGTCTGGAAAAATCTAGATAGATATAAAAATTAACCAATTAGCTCTGGGAAGTAGGATTGAGGGGTACAGAGGTAGACAGCTTTTATTTGGAGGCTGTATTGTTTAAATTTATATATGAGTAGGCATTATTTTCATTGTGAGATAAAAACCAGGAAAAAGATCTTTGAAAAAAAACAACAGGAGCCTGGCCGCTGGTTTCTTGGCAGAGACTGAGTGGACGGAGGAAGGGCCACGCTGGGCCGAGATGAAAAGATGAGGCAACAGGACTCGTTATCGTTATTGCACATATATTTCTCAGTATCTCCACAGAGGTACCGAGAAATCACTTTAAAATACAACCTGTACTACGGCGATGGGAACGAAGGTGATTTTTCTGTTGACATCAACAGCTCTTCCCAGACAGGGTTTCTCTTCACCATTTGCTTTTCGGTATTGAAAAGATTAGCATTTCTCTATTTCGTTAGCTAATGACTATACCTCTTTGGCCTCTTGTCTAGTATCTTCAAGCACCTTGAGAATCTGTCTGCGTAAGGGCACCTCAGGTCACAGACATGAAAGCAGGGAGTCAGCAAGCACATTCCTTGTGATGGGTTAAATTATATCTCCCCAAAACTGGATATGTTGAAATCCCCCAGTACCTCACAGTGTGACCTTATTTGGAGACAGGGTGTTTACAGAGGTAATCAAGTTAAAATGAGGTCACTGGGGTGGGCCCTAATCCAAAATGACTGATGTCCTTATAAGAGATCAGGACACAGACACTCAGAGGAAGATGGTATGAAGACACTGGGAGAGGATAGCCATCCACAGCCCTTTTCTTACAGCTTTTGTTTCTGTTGAAATAGTTTCAAAATAAAGTTAAAATTTAAAAAAAATAAAGATAGAATGAAAGAGAGTCAAGCTCCTGGGAAGCCCGCCTCAGAACCCGAGTAGCAGAGGCCCTCCAGAAAGGGCTGAGACTTAAATCCAGGTTTGAAATGGCTTTATTACCCCCTCCTACCCCCGCCAAATATCTAATGTCCTTGCAATATTAAAGGGTCGTAGGATTTATGTCTGGAAAAAGCCCTAAATGCAGTTCATGGCTTGACTGGTGATTGAAGAAAGCCTTGTGTTGATTTGGAGACCCTCACAATTGGCTTTTACAGCCCAGCCTGGCCTCAGAGAAAGGGCTCTTGGAGTTTGGGGGTGTGGCTTGAAACAGAGTCCCTCCTCTTTTGATCCAGCCACAAAGGCTCGCCTGAGTTAGTGGGAAGTTTCCGGATCACACTTGCCACGGATAATGTCCTCACCTCCGATGATCTGCTCCAATGGCATCTGTGACTCTGGTAAAACCCTGCTCCCTGGAAAAAGAAAACAAAACAATTTCAGCAAATAGTGAAGGACGGGCTCTATTCTTACCGGAAGCCTGGGCTCTATCCGCTCCATGATGGCACCTGCCTCTCTCTCCTTAACACAGACCTCATGACTCCAACAGTCTCCACCCAGGGACCTAGACATGAACATCCAGGTCTTCAGAAGACAGTCAGTTCTAGTATCAACGCTCCCAGACATCAAGCCAGGGTTACTGAATTAATGGCAATGCCACCAGAACTCCTCGGGCCTATAGACACCTTTGTCTTGAAAGTTAATCTTGAATTCATGACATGCCTTGTCCTTCGTCAAAGGAGCAACAGAGTAATTTTCCCCTGCGTTTGCAATATACCCTTCAAATCCTTTTTCCATGAAAAATAAATAGACGGATGAATAGCATCCCTTTTTGACTTGAGTCATTCTGCAATGATAACCACATGAACTTTTGTTTCAAGCCACAGGCGGCCCCACTTACCTCAAAAGGGCCTCCAGCTCTCGTTTGACTCTGCCCACCACGGGTGGCCCCCGGTAGGTGAGGGCCGTGTACAGCTGCACCAGGGAGGCCCCCGCCCGAATCTTCTCCAGTGCATCTTGCCCGCTGCTGACCCCACCAACTCCGATGATGGGGACTCTGCCTGCAGAGAAGCACAAGGCAACACTGAGGAAGGGCGAGAACCAAGAAGTCAGTATGGCTTCAGCCCTCGGGCCCCCTGCTGACTACAGCAATTCACGATTCTGATCGGGACCCCAGGGCCTGAGCCACACACAAATCTGAAGACACAGACACCAGCTCCTTGCCTTGGGTGAGTGCATACATCTCCCGGATGGTTTGTGTTGATAAATCCCGGAGGGGCTTCCCGCTCAGCCCTCCTGTTTCAGAGCGCAGGGCACCCTGGAGGCCGGCAGGGCGACTTACTGTGGTGTTCGTGACAATCAGTCCATCGATACACAACTGCAGTGTGAGACAGAGAAAAAGCCTTCCAGTCACGACACTGACAACCGAGAGAGGCTTCCCCGGGGGTCTGAGCCAGGAGCCAGGCCAGGTGCCCACACCACAGCCCAGACGCAAGACCTCACTGTTCTTCTAGAACAGTGTCAGAATGAGCCTCGACAGGACAAACAGCTGCCATCACACTGTGACCACCCATAATGTTCCACTACGACAGGATTTTATCCTCACTACAACCCACTGCAGACTGTCCTAGAACCCAGGACTGTCAGGCTCGGTCTGTTTCTACTGTTCTCCTAGAAGACAGAGACCTGGTGTCAGACTGAAGAGAGAACACGGGCATACCGCGCAGATATTGTGGGTTTGGTTCCAGACCACCACAACAAAGTGAGTCTCGCAATAATGTGAGCCATAATCCTTTTGCTAGTGGGGGGTCTTGCCTTCAATTTATAAAAACTTCAACACCTGAGAGATGCTTGTACTCGTCTGAGACTGGCCAAGGGTGCAAGCACAAGCCTTAAAGCCCTGGCTGGTGAAGAGGAGGAAAGAGAGGAGGGAAGAGACCTGAGAAAAAGACTCCTTCATTTATTCAAACATCTGCTTTTTATTATATTATGAATTACGCTGTGACAGACCCCAAACAAGCCCTCGGTATCACAGAAACCACAGGCTGGTCTGGGGTAGCCCGGCTGGCCCACTGGCCTTGAGCAGCAAGGAGGGACCGACACTCCCCAGCCCCGACTCGCACCTCTCTCACCACACTAGCGATATCCTCCTTGTCCTGGGCCGTGAGGTCGGGCGCGATCTTCACCAGCAAGGCCGGCTTGTGCGCGCTCTTCAGGGCGTCCCTCTCCTGCCGCACCTAGAGCAAGCAGCATGTGGCCAGCGATAAGGACCCGAGACCACAGCTGGAGGGTGCAACTGTGACCTACTGCAGATCAGTGTATTTTCACCATCAACTATCAAACTAAAGCATGAGCCATTTCTCCTTTTCAGGAAACACAGCCCTCAGTTATGCAAAAGACCCCATCAAGGCAATTCCATTCTCTTGAACCAGTAGGCCCCGTGATTTAATCCTAATATTGTCATTGACTTCAACTAATATATTAAGGTTTAGACTTTTGTTCCTAAAAGAGATAACAAAGTAATGCTGTCAGGAGTACTGTGTGATGAAAAGTCATTCAATTCATTCATTCTTTCAATGTGCTAGATGCTAGGGACGGTGATAAATACAAGACCTGGTCCCTCTCATGGACCTTATGGTTTAACAGCTGGGACAGATAACTGAGCAGTGAATCACTATTAGCATAATCAGTGTTATGATAGGGGATTAGAGGTATAGTGAGGGGTGCTAACTGGTCCAGGTGTTAAGGACAGTCCCTCGACTGTGACAGTGGAACTTTGCCAAGGAGAATGAACAGCAGGTGGGGGTAGGACAAGCTGGTGCAGCAGGACCTAGAGATGTAATTTCCCACCTTGGTCAGCAGGTGGCGCAGCTCAGCCTTTCCCTGAAGGCTCCGCAGCCCAGCGGTGTTGGGACTGGACACATTCACTACCAGGTAGTCAGCCAAGGGGCCCAGGACTCGAACCCCCTCTGCATAGTCCGAGGCAGCGTCCGCCGAGGTCTTATTCTTCCCCAGGTTTATCCCCAGCGGCAGCCCATCTGCAAATATCGCTGGTCAAGATTTTGTTCCCACACATTTCCTTGATATGAACAGCCCTTGTCAAGGCCTTCCACCTTCAGTGAGAATGTCCCGCCCAGCTGACCAGCACTGTGGACTGCTGCATGGTGCTGCTGCCCAGTGAGCAGGAAATAGCTCGCCACCTCTGTCTGCCTAGCAATGTTTGGGCAAAGATGTTTTACTACATCGCACCCTTTTTCTTTTTTTTAATTTAATGGAAAATGGAAAAATTCAGAACGCAAATACTAGCGATAAAAAAAGGTAGGGCTCATAAATGTAACACAACTGAGAACAGAGAGAAATCAATAGGCGTGTCGGAAGGGCCAACTGTTTACTCTCAACCGGAGCTCATTGGACTTGGGTCGAATGACTGGGTGTGCAGTTGTGAAGAAAAACCAAGCTTAAAGGCTATAAAACACTGGAAAATATTTTCAGTTATCATGCCTGAATGCAGAGGTATAATTATTTTATAATTTCAGTTCTCTGAGAAGGGCCTCCCCCTTATAACTGGGATGACTACACATCCCAGTGCTCCCCGGACAGCCCTGGTTACGCCTGCAGCCTGGGCAAACTTATTAATGCCTGCCCCCTTTCACTCTCAGAAGTGTCTCGATTTGCACAGTAAGTAGTTCAGCCACCTTACTTAAAAATCCATGGGATTATCAGTTGACTTGCATTTTGGACTTTCAGATAAATGCATTTCAGAAACAGGCTGTGTGTGAAAGCAAGGTGCTGTCTGTACTTCTCCTAAGATAACATCTTCTCTGTAAGGGTCAATGGCATGCCAGTGGTGCCAGCTATTTTTCCATCTGATGGTTGGGAAAAGGCCTGAAATATCAAGTTAGTCCACAAAACATGTGTCAGATCAGGGAGGATCAAAGGACATCTAGTCCTGCTAACCACTTTTCATACCCTAAACTGTAGTCGTCCTTTTATCAGCTTGAAAGTAAATGAGATTTGAGTAGCTAATTGTGTGTGAAAAGCTAACTGTGGAGGAGGGTTGCAACCCATTAGACAAAGGTTATATAAGGTCTCCAAGCTTCCCAAGTCTAGCCTCCATCAAGCCAAGGGCATTTGTAAGCTCTCATTCTTTTCCACACGGGTAAACTGGCTTGAGAGTATCGCTTTCATGTAGCTAATGGATCTTTTATTAGTAGTCATCTGCCCAAACTGACAAGATTTTGGAGTTAGACAGAAATTGCTGAATTACTCTATCCCCAGATGGTACCACAGCTTTTGTCAACTCATGTTCCTTGGCATGGTGCTAGCAATAAGCTGTCTTCAAGGCTTCTAGCTGCTGCCAAACACTATGTGCAGAGCTCTGCTATAGGATTTTGCCTCACTCCAATGAATGTTAGTGCCAGAGTAGAGGGTGAGTGAGGGGACAGGTAAGGGGGGACGAGTAAGGAAGAACGGGAGAAGGCTGGTATAAAGAACACCGTGGACAATTAAAAGGAAAGAGAGGCAAGAAGGCAGGAGAGTATCGCAAACTGTGAAAGTCACACTGTGACCTTCAAAGTTCCCCAAACGGCAAGGTTTGTAGCATAGCAGGGTCTGGTTCTGCCTAAGCCGGGGATTTCTAAACAGAGTCACTTCCTACTCCCCACATCAGCCTTGGCCCTTTCAGCCTCCTTCCTGAAATGAATCATATCCAGAGGTTTTTCTCACTAGGATATCTGATGAGACTAAAACATCCTGGAAGGAGTTCCAGAGAGAGATCCAATGAGGAGAAAGGTCACGGCCCCAAATAATCCCGAAGGACACTTGGGCGCTTAGTGCATCCTGAGGGACAGCAACACGGAAAGCCCCAGGGAATAAACACCAGCATCTCCGAATGGCCTTCAAAAATGCACGGTGTTTCCGAACTCCCAAATGCCAAGAGTAGTTATCCCTGAGTGGGTAAGAGCGTGAATAGTTTTTATTTTCTTCTTTATGCTTCTCTGTAGTTACTAACACTTCTATAATTAACACGCATTATTTATATAATGGACAAAAAGACAACAGAGCAGGACAAGGAAGATGGCGTTCGAGCCACACCCACATCTATGTGATCAGAGGAGCCACGCCGTTTTGCTCCCTTCCAAGCTGCCCAGTTAAGATACAACATAGGTTACATAACAAGGCAGAAACTAAGTGCATCTTTGCTAAATTGTGAAATTCCGTTAAAATCTTGGATACCGGTGGAACCAGGAAAATTCCTCTAGGAGAGGAGCCCTGAGTTCGGTAGTGTTTTTTCTATTGCTCAATCACATTTATGTCATTAGGAATGTACCAGACCTTTCTCCCACATTTCCTTCCAACCAATGAAGAAAGCCCCTCTAATGCAGCCCCACTTTACCTTCTGTGAGCCTGGCCTGTGTCTGCTGTCTGGCCCGTAACCTTTGTTCCACCACTGAGAACCCGTGACTATTAAATCCGTATCTGTCACACACAAGCAGATAGAAGGGACAAGGTTAGAGCTCTCAACCAGAAGGAAAAAGACATGGCTCCATGGCCATACATAGGACTTTTAAAAACAGAAAAGAAAAAAATGAAAGTCAGTTCTTAAGAACTGCAAGATCTAAACACCCTTGACCTCCTAGAGAACTTGTCAGAACACTATTAAACACAAAAGGAAAGATTAAAACTTGCAAATAAGCCACCCAGCCAACTAGCACTGGATACAGCCCGGACTCAGCCACATAGCTGCCCCAGACTCTCTGCCAGACTGTCTGGGCCCAGCCCCCACTCCTCCTGGCCTTTGCACCTCCACACACACGCCCAGTGGAGCCCTCACCCCTAACAATCCCTTCTTCCCACCTCCTGGAATCCATCCTGCCAGCGTTTCCCTGTCCTTTCTGCCTATTCAAATCGTCCCCTCTTCCTGGCCCAGATCACACACTCCCTCTCCTCCTTGCATCAAACTCCCAGACACAAATGCGTCACCTCCTGCCATTCACTGAGCAGTCTGTAACTGGTCTTTCTAAGTCCCCCTCCTGGATTATAATCTTCTTGAGGACAAAGGACATATCTCACTTTTCCATCACCCTGCTACTAGACATTCCATAAAGACAGTAACCTCATCTCTCTTGCTTAACTCCGTCTCCCCAGCCCCACTGTAGGTTGTTAACCTGTTGGCCATTTCCCCCTTCCTTCCTCCCCTGATAACTGGGTGAAAATGGCAATGACTCTTTTCCAGCCATGCTAGCAACTGAAATATGAACGTGTGACTGGGCGTGGTCACTGGGCACACAGTGATAACTAATGGGGAGCTTCTGGGAACTGCCCCTCCCCCAAAATCTAGGATTCCTTTTCCCTTTCTGCTTTCAGACACGCACGAGAGGACACAATGCTTGTAGCTGGGGTAGCCATCTCACAAACGAGAAGGGAAGACACAGAGAAGTTGGCCCAGAGTCCTGACATTGACCTGTTGCTCGACCAACCCTGGAGCTGCTTGCTACACCTGTTATGGAAGAAAATAACAACAAATGCCTATTGTTTAAGCCGCTTTGTTACTTGCAGCCAAAAACCTAACAGATGCAATGGCACAGGCATTTGCTGACTTAATGAATAAAGTCATCCATTCATTCAGCAAGAGTTTATTGAGCACCCACTCTGTGCCAGATAGAGCAAGAAGGGTGAATACACAGTGCTCCGGAGCACAGGCTCCCCACTTGCAGCCACTGCTCATCCACAGGATTCTGCCAAGAACCGTCACCCTAGTACTTTCAGTGACTTGGACGTTCTGAAGATTTCGACCCCAGCGTGCAATGCAGCAGAAAGATCAATAACTAGATCACTAATGCTAGAAAATTTCCCTGAAACAAGCACAATAAAGCGGGAAGTGCAGCCAAATAAACTTCCCACAGGTCAGCCTTCCAGAAGGCCATTAATGGCCCCAAAGATGCCTATCAAAATCTCCCTAAGGAGGCACTTCACAATACTGTTACCGAAAAGTAGGAACTTCTTCCCCTTCTGGGTTTGCTGTAATGAAAATTCCCCAGGGATTATGAAGAGGTCTTTAAACAGTCTAGAAGGATCTCTCTTACTAAAAGCAGCTGTATATGTAAAACATGAAATTTTCCAGTTCGCTGAAGGCCAGGGCTGTGCTGTCCAATACAAGAGCCACTCACTCACTACACATGTTACCAAGCACTTGAAAATGAGGCCAGTCCACACCAAGAAGTGCTGAAGACAAACGCTGGATTTGGAGGACTTGGTACAAGGAAAAGAAGGTAAATAGCTAATTAATCATTTTTAGATTGAATATATGTTAAAACGATATTGGAGGGAGACAGAAAAGAGTAAAAAGGATCAAATATATGGTGATAGAAGGAGACCTGACTTTGGGTGGTGAACACACGATACAATATACAGATGATGTATTACAGAATTGTACACTTGAAACCTGTATGATTTTATTAACAGTGTCGTCCCAATAAATTTAAATTTAAAAAATATTTAGAATATATTATTTTAATTAAGTAATATAATTAATATAGTTGACTATATTAATTGAAATTAACTTCATGTATTTCTTTTTACTATTTTATCATAGTATTTTTATCAATATACTAGATTATTTTAAATTACATATGGGGCTCGCATTATATTTCTTCTAGACAGAGCTGGGCAAGGGCACTGGAGTAACAATATGGAAAAAACACAAACTCTAAAGTCAAATGAGCCTAAATCTGTACTAAGTTCTCCTACTTATGATCTCATGGTTGTGGCTAAGTTATATAGTTTCTTCGAGACTCAGTGTGTATATGTGTCAAACTGAAACCCTAAAACCTGCTTTTGTGCCTGGCACATGGTATATGCTCAACATGGTTCCTGAACATTCCAAATGACAGAATAATGTCCACATTGTATGACAGGAAACATCCCGAGAACCCTGCTGGGAAGAAGACATCCCTATTACCTCTGGGCCCCTCACCTACCTGTTAATGACAGCTTGGTCCTCAGGGAGGCGGAAGACTCTGGGTTTGGGGTTTCCTTCCTGAGGTTTTGGGGTAACACTGCCTATCTCAACAAAACCAAAGCCCATCTTGTAAAGTCCATCCACAGCCTCCCCATGCTTGTCAAATCCTGCAGCAATTCCTACTGGATTTCGGAACTTATGGCCCAGGACTCTCACTTCCTAGGGAGAGGGAGACAAAGTCAAGAGGTACACAAGGCTATACCAAGGTCTCTCAAGGTGTGGCCCCGGCACACCTATGTCAGAATTCCCTGGGGAGCTTGTTAAACATCAGATCCCTGGGCCCATCTCCAGACTAAGGGATCCGAGTCTGAGGGATGGTGGGCGGAATGGAGCTCTGAGGGAATCTGTTTTTAACAGTGCTCTCCAGGTGATTCTGATGCCTACTGAAGTTCAAGAACAATCGGGCTTTGTCATCCATGACCAAGACTGAGGAGAAAAACAGTGTTTCCACCACAGGTTGAGCAGAAGATGGACACTGTCTTTTCCAGTCATGGTTAAAATCCATCCCTCCTTATCCACTATCCTTGGTGGGAGAGTGGCTCATTGGTGTCAGCCCCTAGCTAGTTCTAGTCTGAAACAGTGTCAAGCAGCAAATCCTTGAATCAGCTTAGAAAGTCAGACCCACCGGGGTCCCTCCTCAGCCAGGCCGATCCGAAGCCCCAGCGATTTCCCAAGACCCTGCGGACACTAGAGGGAGGAAAGTGCTCAGCTGAGCAGACCTGACTGCTGGGCTCCAGAACCAGGCAGTGGCCGGAAACAGGTTCTTCCCTGTCAGACATAGGGTGGATTCCAGATTGTTCTCTAGAATGAGAGAGAGTGAGGCCTAATTACTGTCAGGTCTGGACTGACTCCTAAGTAATTCAGGATTCCTGCCCTGATGGAGCCAGCAAATCCAGTAGCAAGACAAATACTTTAAAAGGTGTGAAAGAAATCAGGAGCTGTGTCACAAAGCCAGTGATTGCCAATGGAATCCATCACTATAGCCAGGAAAACCTTTGCCAGGACTAACAACGAACTCCAAGGGCAGGCACCATCTAGTCCTGGATGCAGTAGGTAGAAAGGCTATTCCAAGAAGTGAGAGTGACAAAAAGTGAAGGTAAAAGTGTGTACCTCATGGACTGTGAGGCAGCAAGTGTGGCTGGACCAGCGGGCCTTTCTCAAGGACAACGCCTCGACCCTGGCTGCATGACAGGATCCCCAGGGAGCTTTCAGTCCTCACTCCCAGAGATTATGGTTAAGTGGTTCTGGCATCAAGCCAGAGCATCTGTCTGGTCCAAAAGCACCCCCAGGTGATTCTAATACACAGCCAGGACGGAGAACCCACGAATTAGGGAAATGGTAGACAGCTAACACTAGAAAGTTAAATTGAGTGAGATTATCAAGAGTCCTGGCTGTCAGTTGAGTCTGGACCACAGCCTAAACAATGAGTTGCTGGAGGTGGGACCCACATAGCAGTGTTTAGGACCACAGCTGAAAGGCCACATTTGCTCTCCCTATCGGCGATGTTTATGGGACATAGCTTTGTACCTCCCCCCGACATGACCTCACTTCCCTCCAAATCCCACTCTCTCCTCACTCCTGTTACGCAAGGTTCCAGGACTCGCAAACTAGCAGTTTGGGATGAGGAAGGCTTAAGGAAAAGAATGTTCTTTCTGATTCTACAGTGCATTTCAGTGCTTAAGTATGCTAAGCCAGGTAAAATGCCACATCTGCTCAAAACTGCAGGATGGGGAAGTGAAAGGGATCCTTAAACAAAAAGGGAAAGTGCAGAGAAGGGTCCCTTTGAAAGTGCAGTAGGGACCCTTCACCAAAGAGGTCTGAGTGCTGCTTGTTTGTTGTCCTCATATTCACATCATTCTGATGTCTCCCATTTCGTAAGAAGTCTCTCGGACAGCTTACTCATGGATACAGATTCTAGGAGGACATGGATTCTTCTGTTTCATTTGCTGCAGTACCCTGGTACCCAGAACAGTCACAGGCACATGGTGGGGCCCATGTGTTAATGTAGGGCTGAATGATGCTGGGACAGGGTTTATATGCCTTCCTCAAAGGGCTTGCCTAGAAATATCTGTCACCCTAGATGTTTAATGACTCTGGCATGCTTATGTATTTTGCAGAGGTGAAAACTGAACTACCTGAGACCTTAACAAGGCAGGCTAGTGGCTAAGGAGACGGTTGCCAAGTCAGATTCCATGGGTTTGAATCCTGACTCAGCCAATTCCCAGCTGTATGACTTTGGGTAAGTCACTTTACTCTGTGCCTGTTTCCTGCTCTGTAGATAAGGATGACAGTTTTTCACTGGAGCTAACTTGGGACTCTGCTTTTCAAAAGAATTAGCCCCAGCTGTGTAAATTAGGGGACCTTCACTTTGTATTGCAAAAGGTGTTCCAAGAGCACCTACCAGCATGTCAGAGTCTTGAAATGTGGCACGAGGAAGAAGCCCCAGGGAGGTGACACGAACAGCCAGCCTGTGGGCTGACTCAGGGTCCAGCAGCCCCTGCAGAGTCGGCATCAAGTGTTCAGCATAGAAATACTCATCACCCGTGGCTGTCAGGTAGGAGGCAAAGAGAAGTCCTCCGCCCCCCAGGATGACCAGGGCATCCTGGGCCCGCTTCTGGAAAAATAAATAGATAAATAAACACTGGCCCTCAACGCCCGCCTGCAGCGCCCTGTCTGAGCCCTTGAACACCCCCACACAGAGAACATAATGACATATAACCATGAACTGATGTCCCTAGCTTTCTGCTAAACCTGCTCTCCTTCATTTCTAGTCTTGTGCACACATTGGCCTCTACAGTCAGAAGCTGTGTCTACACTTCTGGCCCTCAAGGACTCCAGGCCAGATGTTTCAAAAGTGACAATACTGCCTGCTAAGGGACATGTGGTGGGCATTTGGGGGGAATGCTAATAGATTTAGTAGGCAGGAATCAGTAGTCAGACATCCTGTATTGTTTTAGACTTTCAGACACATGAATTGTCCTGGTCCTGTATGACTGTTGAACGTCCTACTGACACTCAGTAGATAAAAAATATCTACTCCTATTATCTGATGTTAGAACCAAACTATATTTCACCAAATAAATACAAACTATCTCCTTTATAGTTTTTATGTACATTGACTTTTCCAGAAATACAATTTCCTTGTAAATTGAGGGATGACTACATTTTTGCACAGAACATTACCAAGAATTGTTCACTATTTCAGAAAATCCCATCAGAAATGGTATGGTGCTTTGGTTGGGGCATATTATAAACATACCTGTAGCACTAGAATTTCTAAGTAGAGGCTTAAACACATAACTATCTCACTAGGTGAGTCATGCCCTAACATTTACATATTGAAATACATATTTTATTACAAATTACTTTCATTTCTCCTTTATATTCCAGTTAGGACATATGTTGACTATTAAAAATTATACATAGAAAGATTATAAATAAATCCTATTTCAAGATAATAAAGAGGATTGCAAAATACTTTTTTTAAAGGTGCATTAGGTCTTATGGGGTCAAGAACCACTCTCCTAATTTAAATGTGGTTCATACTTTTCTCTATCACTTCCAGACGCTGAGTCACTCATTCACTCATTCATTCGATCATTCGTCAAATAGTGATTGACCCACTCACAGGCCGGCTAAACAGACCAAGTCCCTTCCTTCATGGGGAGTACAATCTCATGAGGAGACAGAAATCAATGATCATGCAAATATATAACTGTGACAGTTGCTATGCAGAAAAAAGTATAGGGTAATGGAAGAACCCAACCTAATCTCAGAGGAAGATAGAGGCTTGAGGAAGTGACGCTGATATTTAAAGGATAAATAGGAGTTAACTAGGAGGCATGGGCGGAAGAAAAAGTGGAAGGGCTCTCTCCCTGGCAGAGGAGACTGTGATGCAACCAAGGAATGGGGGAAAGAGAAAGGTTTATTTGGAACCGCGGAGTAAAAGTAGCTGGGTAGACAGGCAGCGGTCTTGGCCAGAATAAAGATTTCGGTTTTGTTCTCTAAACAAGGAAGTGACACGATCAGATTTGCCTTTTTGGATTACTCCTTGCTGTTAATATAAACAGCTCCTAGTCTCCAGATTGTAGGAACGCCTCCTTAATGTCAATCAACAAATATCTGAGCACCGTTACAAAGGGCCCTCGGCCTAAAATTATATCTAGAGGGTTGGGACCGCGCCTTCTTGTAATTTCATTCCACGTTGGATGCTGCCCACAGTGGTAGGCGGCCATGTGATCACTGCGCGACCCTGTGCCACGTTCCATAAGTTTGGCCCACGTGCGCTAACAAAGATCAGCATCAACCCAGACACGCACGTGCTGTTTACACACACAGACCAACTACACGTATACAAATGCACACGCATGAGCCTTTGCAGAGACACACGAATGGGCCCACGATCTCGGGCGGACTCCCGTCCACACTTCGCCTGGGCCAGCCCGGCGTTCTCCTCTAGCTCTGCTCTCGCTTCGACTCTCCCTCGCTTCCCCAAGAGCCCCAATTTCCAAACTCACTTTCAGCTGCCTCCACGCCATGCTCCTTCCGCCACTGGGCCCGCCTCTGTCTCGTTTGCATTGGCGGAGATGGCGGGGAGAGGGAGGGCCCCGCTTCGCTCCGAGAGTTTGGCTGGACTACGGCGGCGCGCGCACCCGCGAGGCCCCGCCCCTTCCGCCGCCGGCCCAGCTTCCGGCGGCCGGGCATTCGGCGGCACCGGTGCGGCTGTGCGGCTCCAGTGTCTCCGTTGAGTTGGTTACTCGTCCGCGGTCTTGCAACCTGGGCAGAGACTACGTATACGTGGATTCTTCAGTTCTAAGCGACACTGTCACCAGTTTTTTAATCATGTTAATTAAACATTTTATTGATAACGCTTGTGCTCTAGGTTAGGGGTCCCCAATCCCTTCCCCACCCAAACACCATGTCCTTGGCGGATGAGGAACCCGGCTGGCACAGCAGGAGGTGAGCGACAGGCAGGGGAGCGAAGCTTCATCTGTATTTGCAGCCCTCTCCAGCGCTAGCATCATCGCCTCAGCTCCACCTCAGATCATGAGACTAGAGTCTCAGGAGCACGGGTCTTTGATGCCAAAAAGGTTAGGGACCGCTGCTGTAGGTGAAGCATGTATTGAGAATGTATGTATCGGGCACTGAAGAAAGGGTTGAAATGAATTACAGCAGTGTGTAGAGTACCTGTATAGATGTCAAAGAAGATTCCGTCAACATGTTTCACTTAAAAAATGCTTAAAACATGTATGTTTCCATGTATGTATGTTTATGAGGATGTTGGAAAATTAAGACTTACTGAAGGTATCCCTTACTCAAACCGTCTCATTGCAGCACAGACTTGATGGATTCCTATGCTAAGAAAACTTTCAAATAAATAATGAAATATTTTTCCTAGCATTTGAAACATTTCAGTTTTGTGGTTTCAGTTCTCACTACCGCCCCCTCAAGTACACCCCCTCACACAGACACACCCACAGAATTATTTCTTTCTCTTTATAAATATCTTCCACTTTCTCACTTCTGTGCATTTACTCACACTGACTCCTCTGCTAAGATGCCCATTTCATCTGTCTAAATATGGCTATCCTTATATGGTCAATTCAAGAGCTGGAAATAATTTCTTCGTCAGCTGAACCTTCACAGATTTAAGCTGTACCTCTCTCGTAGCACTTTTCTTTATTAGCTACATTTGTTGTCTTTTCTTCCTAATTAGACTGTAAACCATCCTATGTTAACCTTTCATTTGATTACTACAGTGTTTTTTAAATGACTGAGGTATACATTTCAGAGAATATTTAATTTTGGTGTACACATCCATAATGATTTTAAAGAATAATTGTAGGCATCGTTTGGATAACCGACTTAACCCAGAAACCTGCCAAGTTATTTCAGTACCCATGCTTATTTGTATTTATGGTCACATTTTGGTACCAAGAACGAGAACTGGCTAAAATACATAAATGATGGATGTGTTACAGGATGTGCTACCAAATGACGTTGTATGAACAAAGGTTTTTCAACAAGTTAAAGAAAAGTGATGAGAGAATTGCTTCTTTCCTACTGCGTGACAAATTCAAAAGAACCTATTCGGTTGTAGGCCAGAACTGTGTATATTTGACAAGTGACTACTTAGTTCAGCAAATATGAATTGCATTGTTTTTCACTTTTGTTTGTATTTAATTTGTATTCATTCTTTCATTAAATATTTATTCTTTGGTTTTTATGGTTATAATAAGAGATTTAGAATAGAGTTATGTAAGAGATTTAGGATAAAGTGAATATTTAAGAAACAATACAATAATGTAAAATCCATGTTCTTTAAAAAAAACAATTCCTTATTCACTTTTAAGTAGCACTGATTTAGATATTCATCATTCTTTACTCCCTTACAGCTTAGACTCAGCAAATAAACATCTATTATAAAACCGAAGGCATATCTGGTTGTATAGACACAGATGGTGGTTCCCTAGCTCTAAAGGCCCATTGCTTTATTGATCTTTGTTTTCAGCTGGTAGGAACTCCACCTGGATCCTTAAAACAAAACAAAGCAAAACCTTTTGTCTCTTTGACAAACTATTCCCAATTTGTTAAAGAATAATACTAATAAGACAAATCCACCAAGAATATATTTAAAGGACCAGGCAGCTGCTGAGCCTCCACAATCTTCATACTTGCAGTTCAGAGAGAAAATGTTCTTCAGAAGAAGAACCTGGTTTTGGTTATACATCAGAACAAGTATCTTTCTAGGACGTGAGCTAAATAGCCCAAAGCAACATGGTAAAATTAATTGTTATCAGCTTAACAGGTTTTACTGCAGCTTTGGGGAAGCAGAAAATTACTGTCGTGCCCAGGGAGGACACCTTGCTTACGCTTGGAACCAGGAGGTTCAAGATCTCATCTGGAACTTTTTGGAAGAAGGCAAGAAGTGGTGGATTGGGCAAAATTTAATGCTGCTGAGAAAATATCAAGAAAAAAACAACCCAAGTAAGACTCTGAGGTTTAGTGCTTATAAAGGAAACTTCTTTGCTTTTATTTTGGGGGAAAAAAATTTTAAATCTTTCTGCCTTTGTATATAGAAAAATCAGTTACTTCACTTCATTACCATCATTTCTCTGAAATATTTTTATTTTTGTGATGCAGGCTTTGATTTGTCTGCACAGCAAAGACGAGATTTTTCTCAAAGCATATCAACAGTTAACTTATCTAATATTTCACAGAAAGTATTGTGCAAAATTCTGAAGTGAGAAACCTTTTATGGTTACTTTTTTCCTGGTAAATATCTCTTCGTCATTCTTGGCTCCAAGTTTACTAATGCAGAAAGTAGGAGAGAAATTTGCCTGTTGTCTTTCTTAGATAGATATTTTCAAAATTATGCACCATAATCTTGTGGTCTTAGAGAAAAATCCAAGGCATTTATATCATAATCATCTTTGTTGAAATCTAGGTAAATTAATACGAAGCCTTGTGATAAAGAACACATAATATGAAAAAAATAAACTGTAATATGTGGGGGGAAATCCTAAATTTTCATCCATTAAAAGCTAGCAAAACTCAGTTTTCATCTATTTTTTTAAATGTTTGTCTTTTGAGTATGAGGCTCATCTGGGTCTGGTCTTCCTTCTACAGCTGTCACAGCCCAATGGGCCCCAAAACCCACCGACTGCACTTACATGTCCAGAAAATCCAATTGGATCTCATCAAAAGTAGACTCGTGCTCACTGGAGCATTATTTCATTTGCCAGGCTGGTAAGTGATGAAGCTACATGCTGCCAAACACCTAACTTTAGAAACTGATTTGAAATAAGAAGACTATGTGAGAACATTAGTGAGTCCATGAGTGATAGGCCATAGGACAGATATAAGGATCCTGATTTTCATGATTTTGATTAGAGTAAGAAACTGTTCATTTGGAGTGATTTCCTTATGAATCCCACTCTGGTAGGTGGGAAGAGTTGTGCCTTGATGTTCTCTTCATTGCTTAACTTGGGCAGAGTATGGGAGAAAGTGTATCCTCGGTTAAGTTCCATTTTCTACATATATATCCCTAATCCATTCAGCACTTGGGCTTTAGAGGGAAGCATAGGAAGCAAAGGAGGAAAAGAGAATATGCTGGAGGGAAATGAGAAGATAAAGGGTGAGGAGATTGTCATCAATCTCCTTTTGCTTCCTCAGAGGTAAGTCAGAATTAAGGGTGCGTGCGTGCATGCGTGTGTGTGTGTGTGGGGGTGTGTGTGTGTGTGTGTGTGTGTGTGTGTAGTTGGGTGTTTTTTGTTTTTGTTTCTTTAATTAAGCAATGTTTTTCATGGTGGGGGTTACAGAAAGCATTTCTTAGCTGAGTGAATTCTTGGAGACCTTACAATATCTTATTGTCTAGATACAGATTTTGTTCTACTTTTTAAAAAATCACAAATACATTCTTACTAAAATATGAAGAATCTATGGGTGCTGCATAGAACAGAATATGTTGCACTATTTATCTATTACAAGAAATATTTCTCTATTACAGTATTCCTCAAATACTGGATATCGAAAGGACCTAGTATTTCAATGTAGTAAATTTCCAGCTTCAAATCTCTCATTCTTACCCTTTCAAGCTCCTTGTCCTATTTTGTCGTTATAGCACATTATTGTTATTGAGGCCCAGTCGCGAACCTAATCTTTGCACAAGTCCAGGGGTCACGTGTTTCATTCTCACAAACTGTATCCCTAGTATTGGCCGGCCATCTTACAACCGTGAACCGTTACTTATCATCTCCAGGATTGGAAAAGCAGCTCCTAAACAACCTAAATGATAATGATTATCTATCCATCTTTCACCCTCCAAGAGTTGAGTGTTTAGACATTCTCAGCTATTCTTGGTTTTGAAGTGAATATGTATTTTCTGATATTATTGATGTACTTGCAATAGATTACGACTATGGAATATAGCATGTGCAGAAGATAATCTTGGACAAAAAAAAAGAATTCTAGTCAATTAATATAAGCCAATTCTGCAAATTCTGAGCCTACATTCCCATAGTGACAGGAAGTATGTTATTGCAGCTAAGAGCTCAGGCTCAGAATCATGAGTTCATGAGTCAGAGTCCTGAGTTCGTATCTTGTTTCTATGACTTTCCAGTCGCGACATCTTGGGCAAGCAACTTAGCTTCTGAGCAGCCCAGTTTCCATCAAAAGATTGTCATCAGAATTAAGATAATACAAGCGAAATATTAGAACAATGCCTGACATGTATTGTAATTATTACTGTTAATATTATATTATTGTACAATTTCTATTTTTTGTTCAGGTTATCGTCTGCTTCTAGATAGCTTCACATTCATGTCAAAGGTGAAAACACTTTTGGAAATCCAGTATTGCTAGTTACTAAACTAAAGTACTTGCACAATATGATTGCTTAGAAGTATTCAGAAACAACTATTATTGTCATAGCACTTTTATTATGAACTTACAAAATGCCTCCTCCATACTCATGTCGGTGGGAGAAATACTTGTAAATTTGTTCCTTAACGTTCAGTAGAAGAGTCTAATGCTTTGTGTTATCACACAGCATTACTGAGGCTACAGATTGACTTTATCACACTGGCGTAGTTGAACTCATGATTGTCCTTCATTTATTAAGAAAAAGCACTTAAATTTCACATATTAAAGTATTCCTTTTTTAAGAGATTTTTATTTTCAGAATGTCTGAATAAGAAGTGTAAGTTTGTGTTAAAAGTGGTATTGTAATAGGGTTCATATTCACCTTGTATGTACCAAGACAGACATACTGGTTATGAAGGCTTTGAAATACTTCTGTGCCATTGATAAAGTAAAATAACATAAACTTATTACTTCAGACTAATTATCAAAGGATGACATAACAACTGTTAATAAATGGAGTTCTCTCTTGGCAACATCTGAAACATATTTGTAGCATTATCTGCCATTTTGGCTAAGGCTACAGTGTTGCACAGCCTTTGAAACATTCTGTGCTTTAGGAGAATCATCATTTGTCATCATCCTCGAATTACATTCTTGCTACTACTAAATAACTTAGCTCTGACTTTGTTCTTGTTTAATTAGTAAATGTGTGATGTTTTGATATTTATAAATCCAGCAGTTTGCAGTAAAATACTAAACACAAGGTCCCACAACCCCTAGTGAAAAAAACAATCTAAGAAATAATCATCAATGACCACTAACATAGAGAGAGAGACAGACATTATGTGATTTCTGATGGAAGTACTTGACACTGCCTATTAAGTATTATAAAAACTAGAACTTGAATCTAAGCCGTTAGAGCCAACCAGTTTATAAGAAGTAAGAGAACTGAGGAACATGTTAGATGGCACACAAAAACATGTAGATGAATATGTATAGCAGCTTTATTTATAATAGCCCCAAACTGGGAGTAACCAGACGTCCTTCAACAAGTGGATGGTTAAACAACCGCGATAACATCCGTGTCATATACTATTCAGCAATAAAAAGAAACAAAGTATTGATATACACAACAATCTGGATTAATCTTCAGAGATTTATGCTGAGAAAACAGGACCGATCTCAAAATCTTACATACTGTATGATTCCATTTATTTAATATTCTTGAAATGAAATGACAAAATGATAGCAGTGGAGAACAAGTTAGTGGTTGTCAGGGCCTAAGAAGGTAGTGAGGTCAGGAGGGAAGTAGATATGGCTAGTAAAGGGCCACATGCGGAGCCCTTATGATGATGGAAAATTTTTTATCTTGACAGTATAAATGTCAGTGTCCTGGTTATACTATAGTTTTGCAAGATGTTACCCTTGGGAGAAATGGACTAAAGAGGACGTGGCATCTCTGTATTATTTCTTATAACTTCAGATAAATCTACCATTATCTCAAAATAACAAGTTTAATTTTAAAAAAAAGAGGAAAATACCCCAATGTAAGTATACACATCACTTATGAAGTATTCTTGCCAAAAAAAAATAGAGAAATGCAAATTTAGAATAAACTAAGATACCGTTTCCCACCTATCATGTTGGCATACAGCCACAAACTTAACAACATATTCTATTGGATATAGGCATTCTTAAATCGTTAGTGGAGATGCAGGAAGATACAGTCTCTATGGAGCGGGATTTGGCAATCTCTAGCAAAATTACATATATATTTACCCTTCGACTCAGCAATGCTGTTGCTAGGAATCCCAAAATTACACTGGCAGAAATACAAAAAGGCACGTGTATGAGACTATTCATGGTAGCTCTCTTTGCAATAGCAAAGAGTAGAAACAACCCACATACCCATCAAGAGGGGACTGGTTATATAAAGAAATAAAGGAGATCTCTATCTACTGAAATGGGGTTATCTCTGTAATATTTTTTTTTTTAATGGGAAAAAGCAAACTGCAGAATAATGGATACCATATGCTACTTTAATCTAAGAAAGGGGCTAATATGTGTAGATAGGCCCATACATACAAACATATGTATAAATATAACAGAAAAACAAACAAAAATGGAAATTATTACCTATGGGGGAGAGAAAGGGAGTAGAATCGAAAAGACAAAGATGGAATTTAGGACTTTCTGAAAGTACCTTGTTTCATTTTTTTTTGACACTGGAACTCTATAAATATTTTACATAATTAGAAAACTTAAAAAAGCAGTTTCTAAAAATAAGGAAAAAGAGAGAGAGCAAGAAAATAATTAGGCTATGGCCACATCACTCTGAACAAGCCCGACCCTGTCTGATCTCGGAAGCTAAGCAGGGTCGGGCCTGGTTAGTACTTGGTTGGGAGACCACCTAGGAAGACCAGGGGCTATAGGCGGAAAAAAAAAAAAAAATCCTATTTCACACCGATTTTAAAATTTGAGAATATTTCTAATATCTCTGACTTGTTAGGGAGGCGCATAGGTTATCACATCATGTGTTTTTGTGCT